CAGTCGTAGAGGTAGTATCAATAGTCATAGTGTAGCTAAGCACAATAGTGCAAGCAGTTTTAGCTTGGACACTTTTTGTACTACTGCCCGCGAACAATAGCTCCCTATAACATCTTTTTGATTATAATATAAATTAGCCTTTAAAACCAAAAAAAAAATTATATCAATAAACACATAAACAAGAAACAGAATTTGCACACTACATCATTATCAAATCTAAATAATTGAGATTGCAAAGAACAAAAGTAATCTTATTAATTTCAGTTACAAAATAATACTATCAACTACAGAACGGAAATCAAAATAACCTTTCATTTTCTTCTATGGCTCATTATTGAAAAAAAATTCTAGATTTATTTAAACTCTACCTACAAGGAAAAATGTTGCAAAATTTTTTCCTTATCTGAAACATAAAGGAATCTGAAAGACAACAGTAAAAAAAAAAAAAAAAATCCCGATCAATAAAAAAATTACGAAAAAGAAGTCCTAATTCTCTTATAATATCCGAAGCTGGACTTCAAAAATCTGGAAGCTCCTTAATATTTTCCAATGAAGAAGAAGAAAAGGAACTTCTCATACTATTACTAGGCATAAAAAAAAATGGATCGGTATAGTTACAAAATGGCTGATCTGAGAAAAATAAATCGGTCGAATTTGGACTAGGAAAAGGTGCATTATTACTATCTAAGAAAATTGGAGGGTCATTAAGATTATCATAATTACTAATACCACTATTAATATCATTAATATTAGGTAGATCAAAAATTGTTGGAGGAGGAGGAACATAACAAGAAGCTGATGAATTAACCTGAGCATCTCCTAAACTGCAATTACCACTATTTTCATCAGTGACAACCGATGTGGATTCATTGTCATCATTGGCCAATAACTCACATTTTTTATTAATGTCCCTATTATTTTGATAATTAATTTCTTTATCGGGTCGGAGGATATCTCCAAGACAGCTTTCAGGGCCAGAAACAGGGTCCTCCTCCTCGTTTATAGGCTCGGATTTGGGATGTTGAGGTAGAGGAAGAGGTGGATGAGAAGGAGAAGAGTTATCGTCTTCTCGTGAAAAGCCAGTGAGTTTTTGGACCAATGCCATGAAATCGCGTGGATGTGTGTGAATAACTTTGGGAGGATGTGTGTGGATGATAATTGGATGACGTGGCTGATGCGGGATGGTGGTTGAGGTGATGGTCGCGACCCCATTAAATAGGGAGGAAGAAGAGGAAGAAGAAGATAACGAATTCGACGATGATTTCTTGATCAAATGAGAGTTCTTGTTGATCTTCAAAGGAGGAGAAACATTGTTGTTATTGCTAATCATGGCTTGATCTGCCTTAATTGCATGATTATCGTAGAATTGTGCATGGCTCATGGTTAATTCAATTTTGGTTTCCTAAGCTAATTCCAACAACTCCAAAATTGATAGATCTCTATCAATATGAGATAAGGGTATGAATTTGTAATATGTATGATATAAAGATAGAGATATTGCTTAATATATGAATCTCTTTGATTATTGGGAGGTTTAATTTGAGTGGAGTTGAAGAGAGGTAAGTGAATTTATGTGGTGAATATATAGAAGAAAATTGAGTGATGAGCTGTGGGTGAAAGTTTAGGTGTAAAGAATAGCAAATTCATCGGCTATGAAAAAGGCAGCACGTTATTTGCGAAAATAAAGCTCTTGTTTCCACGTTAAAATAAGGAATAATCAAATTCACTAAGTCGAATTAACTTAACTCTAAGAGCAAATATTAGAGAAATTGGATTTTATTTTAAAAAATATATAGGGCTTATGGTTTAAAATTTATGTTTTCTATTTTATTTTCGTCTTAGCTGTAATTTTAAAATGTTTTACTCTTAAAAGTTACTCACAGTTTTTTGATATTTTAAGGAGCAACACGTGATACCAGTGTCTATTAGAATTATTAAAAATAAAATAAAAAGAGATTTATAAATATCTATAGCATATTTTCAAATTTTAGATGTGATTTTAAAATAAAGATTTATCCACAAATTAAGGCAATAGTTTCCTACTTTGTTAAAAAGCTAGTGCAAAAGAATAGGGTTTTCAACCCCTCTCTCTTCCAACTCCCTCTCTCTCTCTAATACCCTTCTTATGTCTTAATCTTTATTTATAGTACAATCAAAACTATTTATAACATCCTTATTTGTTCTCTTTGATTGTCATAGTAAAGCACTATATAGAGAATACATATTATAATATAACATGAAAAATTGGTCTCAAAGAAGATTTGACCCTTATAGTGAATTGTTGTTATAAAAGATGACTGTTATATAGAGGTCTAACTGTAATATGCAAATGGGTCCATTTTTTCCCGTGTAACATTAATTGTATATGGGTGAAACGGGCGGTAACATATACCCCAATTTCCCAGTGGATCAAACGAAGCAAGGATATGATTACACGGGATCAGAGTCGAAGTTGAGAACTTCTTGTACCAAGGTCCGAACAAAATGCTTGCCATCGGACTTGATACAATGATGCACCCCGGATTCGGGGCGGGTTCTGATACTTCGAGAAGCCCATGAACGATTGCACACGACTAACGGAGGGTCGTGATATCCGCTTCCAACTGGATATCGCGGTGCAGATCTTGCCCAATGTCGGTAGTGGATCAGTAATTAATGAGAAAAGAAGATTTTACCTTTTTTAGACTTGTACTAGGGGTGAAACTCTTCTATTATATAAAGGGGAGGCTTTTTATTTCAATGATATATATTGTAACACGCATACCAAGGTAATATAAGTTGTTTCTCCGCTTTCTAGCTATTGAAAAATTTCTTAATTTATTGTTGTTCTTTATACACATTTGGCTCCGAACCAAGGGTCTGATCGAGGCCAAAATTACTGTTCAGTCCAAATCCAAGCCTGATCGTAACATCACAATTATTTTGGTTATTCATTCTATATTTAATTTGTTTTTCTAACATTTAGATTATTTGCAATGAATCAATCCACGTATCCTTAAAATCGCGTATAAATTCGATTTCTATCCATTTTAAGGGTAAATAGTTTGGCGCCCACCGTGGGTCTAAGGATAATAGTGGTGGTTTGATGCAAATCTCTATAGCACACTCCATTTTACGCTTGTTCTTTAAGGTTTTAATTTTAGGTCAGCTTAAAAAATGTCAAATTCTCAGTCCGCTCACTTTAAAGTTGAGATGAGTCTGGCCATCATGGCGAAAACAACCCCCTACTGATCCCAGCGGGGTCCCGATTGCAAATCTGATCGACGCCAATTCACAAGTTGCTATCAACGTCAACCTGCCAATTGGCCCCGAAAACAGCGTTCGTGGAGGTCCCTGACCAACAGTTTGAGAAACGCCCGAAGGCGAAGGTGATGGGATAAGCCTGCTTCTAATCTATGAAATATTGCAGGCTCAACAGGCAGTGATAGTGCAGCTACAGAATCAGGGCCACCCCTCCCCCCCCCCCCGACAGGGTCTAGCCCGAGAGAGCCCGGGAGACCACCCAAAGAAACGAACAGACCACCGAGAGGTCGGGTGAAGCTGAGCTCGGGGCCAACCCTGAGATAATGGAAATACTTGAAGCATTGACAATGCGGGTGGAATCAGGAGAAAAGAGAATTGAGGCCAACGACAAGAAGGTGGAAACATATATTTCCAGGGTCGATGAAATCCCAAGAGCACCCACGATATTGAAAGGACCGGATTCCAAGAAGTTCATGCAAAATCCTTTCCCTTCGAGCGTTGCACCAAAGCCGACCCCGAAGAGGTTTCGTATGCCCGATATCCCAAAGAACAACGGAACCACGGATCCAAACGGGCATGTGACCTCCTATACATGTGCCATCAAGGGGAACGACTTGGAAGATGACGAAATCGAGTCGGTGTTGCTGAAGAAGTTCGGGGAATCTCTGTCAAAATGAGCAATGATATTGTATCACAACTTACCGCCAAATTATATTGATTCGTTTGCTATGCTTGCAGATGCTTTTGTGAAGGCTCATGCTGGGGCCATCAAGGTCGAAACCAGGAAATCGGATCTTTTCAAAGTTAAGCAAAGAGATAACGAGATGCTCAGGGAGTTCGTGTCAAGGTTCCAGATGGAACGGATGGACCTGCCCCTGGTTGCCGATGATTGGGCCGTTCAGGCATTCACTCAAGGATTTAACCCCCGAAGCTCCTCGGCTTCGCAGCAGCTAAAATAAAATTTGGTAGAGTACCCGGCGGTAACTTGGGGCGACGTCCACAATAGATATCAGTAAAAAATCAGAGTCGAGGACGACCAACTGTGCACAACCCAATTTTCCCTATAGGCCGTGATGGCGCCTAACGTCGCCGCTAGCCAACCAATGCGTGAACTAGCCATGTATTTATTCTTTTTAATAATTTCAAATTAGTTGATTTTTATTTATTAAGTAAATGAGAAGTGAAAAATTATAGTAAGGTAAAGCGCGAACTAATGAAAGAGCGAATACGGTGAAATAAATACTCAAAACCTCAAAGTGTCTACTAGCACGTTCCCAAGACCCGGTGTCACAAGTGTATGAGCAATTAGTAGAATATACAAAACACATATGCTCTGTCTGAAATAAGATAGACAGAAAGTAAATACAAAAGAGAGATTGCGGGTGCTGCAGAACGGCCTCAGAGAGAAGCTCAGCACTATGCCTCGGGGTAACGGGGGTACGCGCCTGAATGAATGCCAGATGTACATGTCTCAGATCCTATACGATTAGTTCAGAAGTTTAGCGTGAGTACATAAATAACATGTACCTAGTAAATATCCAATCTAACCTCGAAGAAGTAGTGTCGAAGGGTTGACATCGACACTTACTATGGGCCAACAATTTAAATATAGAAATTCTAAATAGGCATGAAATACGTGAATAATAATAATAATAACAGAATAGCAAGTAGTGAATAAATGATTCTTTAACTGATAATCAATTTAAAAATCTCCAATTGACACCTACTAACTTCCACAATTTCGATCATTAAATAAATTATAACCTATCAAGCCATAAAATATTATCAAGTGTAATCGGGCTCCGAGTATTATCACACACGATTTACGCCGAGGTCGTACGCCCCGATCCAGAATAATATGTACACTACCGAGGGTCAAACCGCATGAATCATAGATGCATCTATATACTGCCGAGGGGAACGGCCCGCTCCCATAAGAGTAGTGTTATCGTACTATCGAGGCGAACAATCCGATCCCATTAGAGTAGAGAAGTTTACCTCGCTCGCGGAAGTACTTGCGACGCGAGAGGACATGGATTTCTCAGAGTTATTAAGTATTCCTCAATTCTTCCAAAAATAAGAAATCTAAGTTGAAAATAGCAACTTTAGATCCTTGTCTCAGCTCTATTCAAACAGTTAATACGCATGATAAACACAACATTAAAAGCATGATGTGGATCTAAGACTACCTGGGCATATCATGGAATATGGCTACGCACAGACTCTCATAACCTCGTGCGTATGTAGCTCCCCACACAAGTAATACACAATAAAGGTACACCTAAGGGGATGAGTTCCCTCATACAAGGTTAGGTAAGAAACTTACCTCGTTTTCAAGCTCACATCTGATCCACAAATCCGCTCTAAAGCCTAAATTTGGTTCCAAACAATCCGAAACTAGCCAAATATTATATAAATTAATCAATATACAATCACAAGTTCATAATTTAGCTATTAGAGGAATTACTCAACCCAAATTGGAAGATTCCTAAAATTCACCCCGGGCCTACATGCCCGAATTCCGGAAAGTTTCGAAGATAAATGTTACCCATAACCTCACGAACTCAAATATATAATTTTTACCCAATTCCATAATCATTTTCGTGGTTAAACCCCATTTCTATAAAAACCTAGGTTTTTCATCAATCTCCTAATATTTTCACATTTTTACATGTTACAATCTACCCATAATCTATGTATTAAACTTACATTGGGTAGGAATTACTTACATTCTATAGCTAGGTGAAAACCTCTCTCCAAGAAGCTCCAAAATTGGCCAAGGAAATGAAAATGAGAGAAAATGGCCTAAGTCCCATTTTTAAAACAAGTCTCTGCTCAGGCATTCCTTCTTCGCGACGCGGAAGAGGCCTCGCGATCGCGAAGGCAAACAGCCCAGGCCCAAAAAATTTGACTATCGCGAACGCGACCAGGGCCTCGCGAACGTGAAGACTTGCCTGAGCTGCCCTACGTGAACGCGAAGACCAACAGTGTGCCACCCCACCCAGCTCGCCTTACCCTTCACGAACGCGGACCCCTTCACGCGAACGCGTAGGCCAGTGACCCAGAGCTTCGCGATCGCGAGCTCCTTTTCGCGAACGCGTAGCATAAAAATTCCCTAGCCCGATTCCTTCATCGCGAACGCGATGCCTTCTTTGCGTTCGCGAAGAAGGAAACTAGAACAACAGATAGCAGACTTTTTGAACTCGACTTCGTGTGGTCCGAAACTCACCTGAGCCCCCCCAGGCCCCGTCCAACTACACCAACAAGTCTATAAATATAATATGGACCTACTCGAACACTCGGAACATGTAAAACAACATCGAAACTAAGAATCGCACCCCAAAATCAAATTGAATTAATTTATGAACTTCAAACTTCTCAACTAGCTCCGAACGCGCCGAAATATACTTAGACTATTCGGAATGACGTCAAATTTTGTGTGCAAGTTTTAAATCACCACGAGGAACTATTCCCAGGGTCGGAATCCTCAATGGACCTCAATAACACCAAAACCTGATTCAAACCAATTTTAAAGAACTTGAAAACCTTCAATGCGCTAACTTTCAACATCATGCGGCGAAATGCTCCCCGGTCATTTGAAACCCGATCCAAACATAGGCCCAAGTCCAAAATCATAATACGAACCTATTGGGACCATCAAATCCTGGTTCTGAGGTCATTTACTCAAAACGTTGACTAAAGTCAAACTTAACCATTTTAGGTCACTATTAAGGAACTAAGTGTTTCGATTTCAACCCAAACCCTTCCAAACCCGAACTAACCATCCCCATAAGTCATAAAATAGTAAAAACATATACAGGATATCTTATTTAGGGGAACAGGGATCTAGAAAAAAAATAATCGGTCGGGTCATTACAAACTCGGAGCCCCTTCTGGGTCCATTTATCCCGTTAAAATCGACGACAGGTCTAAGAGAGTCGTCGATCATGAATCGAGACCGGTATCAACCATACAACGGAGATCGAAGGGGAAACAGGTCCGGGCACCACCTCACGAGAAACGAAAGGAGAAATGATCGAGGGCCCAATAGGCGAGGATTGATAAGCAAAAATGGTTTCAACAACCCGCTCAGGACCAGGAAAGCACCAAGATTGTCAGAATATAACTTCAACATAGACGTCGCCAGTATCGTATCGGCCATCGGGCGCATCAAGGAAACCAAGTGGCCTCGACCATTGCAGTCCGACCCTACCCAGAGAGACCCTAATTTGATGTGTAAGTCTCATGGCACTCATGGTCACATGACCAAGGATTGCCAGCAATTGAGAGAAGAAGTTGCGATTATTTACTAACGGGCACCTATGAGAATTTCTAAGTGATCGAGCCAAAAACCCCTTCAGAAATAGGGACACCAACAAATAGACCAAACAAGAGGAACCTCAACGCGTCATCAACATAATCATTAGAGGGATCGATGTCCCTCAAGGGCCAATGATGAAGCGCACTAAAGTATCTATCACAAGGGAAAAACGTACCCGAGATTATGCTCCGGAGGGGACCATTTCATTTGGAAACGAGGACGCCGAGGGCATCGTACAACCTCACAATGATGCACTGGTAATATCCGTACTTATTAATAGTTCTCGAGTTAAACATGTTGTTATTGATCCAGGAAGCTCGGCCAACATCATCAGATCAAGGTTCATAGAGCAATTGGGGCTACAGGATCAAATAGTGCCACCAGTCCGGGTATTGAACGGATTTAACATAGCATGCAAAACCACTAAAGGGGAGATAACCCTACCAGTGAACACCGCCGGCACGATCCAAGAAACAAAATTCTATGCGATCGAAGGGGACATGAGATACAATGCTCAATCCGGAAGGGCATGGGTTCACAACATGAGGGCGATACATTCCACCTCACACGAGGCACTAAAGTTCCCTACGCCGGGGGGAATCAAGATGATCTACGGAGAATAGCTAGTCGTAAAGGAAATATTCGCAGTCAACGAGGTAATCCTGGTGCTTGTAGTTTTGACATCAAGGAACTTAAAGCCGACCAGAAATGAAAAAATTAAATAACAATCATCGATGTCGGCTCTGACCGAACCATAGGAGCGGGGAGCAGACGAGGAGGATGACTACGGAATTCCGAGGTCGTTCATAGCCCCTGATGATACCGACGCCACCAAATCGAGGGTCGAGGAGTTGGAGCAAGTCATATTGATATTGATCGAACACCTACCAAATCGAAAGGTATGCCTAGGCATAGGGTTAGCTCCCGAGCTCAGGAAAAAACTCATTGAATTTCCTAAAGCTAACATAGACTGCTTCGCTTGGTCCCACCTTGACATAACTGGGATCCCCCCGGAAGTGACCACTCATAAGCTGAGTTTGGACCCGAAGTTCTACCTGGTCAAATAGAAGAGGATACCGCAGTCCGAGGTCAAGCATGCATTCATCAAGGACGAGGTATCTAAACTCCTTAAAATAGGATCCATTCGGGAAGTTAAATATCCGTAATTGTTAGCTAACGTAGTGGTATTGCCTAAAAAGTGATAAAAGCTAAGAATGTGTGTAGATTATAAAGATCTGAACAAGGCATGCCCTAAGGATTCTTTTTCTTTGCCTAACATCGATCGGATGATCGATGCAACGACCGGGCACGAGATACTCAGCTTTCTCGATGCCTATTTCGGGTACAACAAAATTCGAATGAACCCTGGTGATCAAGAAAAAACTTATTTTATCATTAAATTCGGCACCTATTGTTATAATATAATGCCATTCAGATTAAAGAACACTTGTGCCACATATCAACGCCTAGTAAACCAGATGTTCGAAGAACATATAGGAAAATCAATGGAAGTTTATATTGACAACATGTTAGTCAAGTCCCTGCGAGCAGAGGACCATTAAAACATTTGCAGGAAACCTTCGACATATTAAAAAAAATACAATATGAAGCTGAACCCGGAGAAGTGCGCATTCGGGTCGGATCGGGGAAGTTCCTTGGGTTCATGGTATCCAATCGAGGAATCGAGATCAATCCCAACAAAATCAAAGCCATAGAAGACATCACCGCAGTGGATAACGTCAAGGCCATTCAGAGACTGACCGAGTGTATAGCTGCCCTGAGCCGGTTCATATCGAGGTACTTGGACAAAAGCCATCGGTTCTTCTCACTGTTGAAGAAGAAGAATAACTTTTTCTGAATCCCAGAATGCCAACAAGCATTGGAAGAACTCAAACGGTACCTATCGAGTCCACCTTTACTGCGCACTTCGAAGGCGGACGAACAACTGTACCTTTATTTGGCGGTTTCTGAGGTGGCGGTAAGTGGAGTCTTAGTTCGGGAAGAAGAAGTTACGCAATTTTTTATGTCATTAGAACTCTAGGTGAGGTCGAAACAAGGTATCTCACCTAGAAAAATTGGCGCTCGCTTTGCTAAGCGTCTCTAGGAAGTTTAAACCGTACATTTAATGCCACCCCATATATGTCGTAGCCTCTTACCCACTGAGGAACATCATGCATAAACCCGAGTTATTGGGCCGGTTGGCCAAATGGGGTGTCAAAATCAGAAGGTTCGATATCGAGTATCGACCCCGAACCGCCATAAAATCATAAATTTTGGAAGACTTCATGGCCGACTTGACGCCGACCTTAATATCCCAAGTCGAAAGGGAATTATTGTTAACCTCGGGGACTACCTAGGGAATCTGGGCCCTTTTTATCGAATGTGAAAGGGTTCGGGCTTGGCATCGTGTTAAAACTACCTACAAGGAATGTAGTTAGGCAGTCTATTAGACCTATGAAATTGACTAACAATGAGGCCAAATTATGAGGTCATAATTGCAGGTCTCGAATTGGCTAAGAGCCTTGGGGCCGAGTTGATCGAAGCTAAGTGCGACCCCCTCCTCGTGGTAAATCAAGTCAATGGGACGTTCGAAGTGAAAGAGGAACGAATGTGAAGATACTTGGACAAATTACAGGTAACATTATATCAATTCAGGGAATGGACCCTATAGCACGTGCCCCGAGATCAGAACAACGGGGCTGATGCTCTGGCTAACTTAGGCTCGTCGGTCGATGTCGATGAATTTAGTTCAGGAACGGTAGTACAACTCATGAAGTCGGTGATAGAAGAAGGCCACGGCGAAGTACATTCAACGAGCTTAACTTGGGATTAGAGGAAGGATGTGAAGGACTTTGTACGAAAATGTGACGTATTCTAGAGACACGCACCGATGATCCATCAATCGAGAGAGCTACTCCACTCGGTCTTGTCCCCGTGGCTATTTATGAAATGGGGAATGGACATCATCGGTCCACTATCGTGGTCATCCGATAAGGCTCAATTGATACTATTCATGACCGATTATTTTTCCAAATGGGTCAAAGCTCAAGCGTTCGAAAAAGTACTAGAGAAAGAAGTAATTGACTTCATCCGGGACCACATAATATGTCGATTCGGGATACCGGCGGGATCGTTTACGATAATGGGAAACAATTCATCGGCAGCAAAGTAAATAAATTCTTCGAAGATCAAAGGATTAAGAAGATACTATCAACACCTTACCACCCTAGTGGGAACAGACAGGCAGAATCAACAAACAAGACCATACTTCAAAACCTAAAAAAGAGATTGACCGATGCCAAAGGGAAATGGAAGGAAATCCTGCCTGAAGTCCTGTGGGCATACCGTACAACCTCGAAGTCTAGTACCGGGTGTCACACCTCCTTTTTTACACATCTACCCCGAAGGATAATGTATAAGGGAGTTTTTCCATTTAAAGTGACATTATTCGAAATAGGATTATTTATTTGTTTTTAGAGTCGCCACTTGGGATAGGATTGGCTTTTGGTGTCCCAAGTCACCGGTTTAACTTGAATCCCAAATCGAGGAAAATTTCGACTTCCCAATTGGAGTCTGCGAACCAGAAATTCTGAATAAGGAATTCTGTTGACCCGAGAGAAGGTGTTAGGCACCCTCGGATCCCGTGGTTCTAGCACGGTCGCTTAAATTATTATAAATGGCTAAAATATAATTTTTTGCATGTTCCAACCTATAGTGCAATTTTAAGATTATTTACCGCTTTTTAGTTAATTTTTAGGAAAGTGAACGTCGTTTAAGAACGTGTTTTTGGATCACGTCACATGAAATGCACCCGGATCCTCGACACATTCTTATTCAACGTTTTGGGATTTGGATTTGGGTTGCATGAAATGCACACCCGAATTTAGGAAGGTAAAATTATTAAAGAACGCGCCTAAAGCGACTAGCGTGTTATTAACTTTGCGGGAGGCCGTGAAATTCGCTAAACGGCATACCCCGAATTCTAAGTATTTTAATTAAGCATTTAATGAGGGTCCCGCAATTTGTGCATTTTGTTTGGCGAGGCTCATCTCAATTTATTATTCAAAGGCCAACCTAAAACAAACTAAGATTTTCTATTTATTTTGTCTCTAAAAGGGCCTAATTAATTTGCATTTATAAATTCGGGCCTCAAGTTCAAGTCCGAATTCAAACAAAAGGGAGGACCCTCTTAGTTTGAACCCGCTACCTAACTCGAAAGCCTAAATTTATATTCGCAAATCAATTCCCATATTCCTAATATAATTTTTAAAGGGTTTTTAACTTCTAACAATTTTGGGCCTTAAATTAGTAGATCAAAATTCAGTGATATAAATGGGCTTCGACTCGACTCAAGCCCAGCACTGTACCCGCAACCCAATTTTATTGACAAGTACATGATCCGTATGAACAGAAAGACTGACTAACAAATTCAAGTTTTGGTCTATGATTTTACACTAATTAACTGCATGAATTCATCTTATTTAGCATGTTTGTTTAAACCAAATCTGCTATGTAATAACGATCTAACATAAGAAATGCTGAATCTGCCTAAAATGTACCGTATTAACCATTTTTACTACCTTCAGTGACTTAGCATGTTGTATAGCACTTGAATTCCATATTGAAGTTCACAAATAACAGGTGACATACTGACTTTCCTTTTCAAATTTATTACACCATGAGTTCATCAATTAAATCCAAGTCTCTCCACAATATTCATACCTATTACTCTAATATGGAGGGTAATGCTAGTAATACAAACTCAGAACCACCTATTAATTGTAAGGAACCAAACTATACCAGAACTAAGCTAACAACACAAAATGTAATAATACCAAGTCGAATCCAATTAAAAAGTCCCTACAAATGCGAAACAAAGCTACAATTATACTAGATATTACATCCATCAAGCTATTTAACATATGCTGAGCCAAATGAGTATGTATTGAGAAGTAAAACTCATGCACAGTTTGTATTCCATTTCCAATTCGAGTTACATCAAAGCTGGTTCAAGGTGTGTACCTGAATGTTTGGAAATATAAGAAGAAGAAGAAGAAGAAATCAGCAGCAGTAGTGAGCAGAGGTTGAACAACAGCCCAAAAAACGAATTCAGCAGCCCAGGAAAAGTTCAAAATCAAACACAACCAGGAAATCAATCACCAACAACTCGAATAAAATCCAAATGAGCTTGAAATTGAACCCAGAAACTTCTGAAAACCTTCAACAATTGAATCCCGAGCCAGGAAGTAGAAATCAACCACTACACTTGATATTAACCTAAGATTTTTCAATGTAACAGTACTTTTTTCAGTTTCTATTGCTTTTTGGTTTTTTTTTTTGGATTTTTTCAGAAAATTAAGATCTAAAGAAGGTTTAGAACTACATGGCTTCAAATTCGAACCTCTTGGGATTTTTGAAATTCAAACTTGAAATTCAGACTTGAAGAAAATGATTTTTGAGGGGGAAATTAGGAGCTGGAGAGTTTTTTTAGGAATTCAGATCTCTAAACTTGTTCATGAAGGCACCGGGCCTGCCTTTTATAGGCAAGAAAGACGGCAGAATGTTCTGGAAGGTTTTACTCATTTTTCCCCCCTTTTATTTTCAGTAATTGCATATTAATTCT